ATATAAATATACTGACAATGATACTAATTTTTAAATGGGAGAGATTACAAAACCCCTTGAGTAAAAGAAGCTAAACTCTTAAACATTGAGGAACCTTTTGGTGTATTGATTGAAATTTTATTAAGAAACTCCATAGTTAAGCGTGCTTATCCCGGAGAAATCCTGAGATAGGTGACCTTCTGAGAAGTTACACCAATATGATAAAACTATGAGAACTATAGGCCAAAGCAGACAATATATTGATAGTTGAGAGTTTGGGTTGTTATAAGACCTGTCTTTTTTGTGAAAGGGGGAGTATGCGACGACAAGCTCTAAGGTTAGGCTAATTTAAAATGATATGGGATAGCGTCACGGTGTTGGTATCTGGATTTTTATAAAAAATATCATTTTCACTAAATCTTCCCCCCAATTGAGCTGAAGCCTAGAGAGGGAAATATTTTAGTGAGAGAAAGTTGAATTCGTATGACTTTGGTTCATTTTCTTATATTAGTCCAATTTAGAAAGTTGTCTCAATTGAGGTAGGTTATATTTTGCCTATCTCAATTTTAAAAATACAAAAATTTTAAGATTTTTTTGAATAAAATTTGTATTTTATAGCATAGAAATGAGGATAAGTTTATATCCACTAAACTTTTAAAATGTAATTTTTTAGAATATTGTGGATACAATCATCCTGAGCATTTTAATATTTTTTTCTAAAAATTTTCATAGGGTAAATAAGAAAAAGTGCTATTTTTGACAATTTGAAAAATAAATCCAATATCTGAAATTAATAAAGTTGGAAGTTTCAAAATAGAGTTATCAATAATCTATGATAATCTGGTTAAAGGTATGATGGGTTGATTGTTGTAAATTTAGATCGGTGGATGTGACATGTCGAGTTATGTTGGCTGATAATTATTCTGTGTTTTGTTTTAGGTCAAGACTAGGAAAAGAGTCAATTGTAGAGCTGATATATGTTACATGAGTTAATATGCTTGAGTATATGTGGGTACTATATGGTTTATAGATTTTGTACATTCGTGACAATTTTCTATTTTATTTGATTTTGATTTATAGTCATGTGTTGTAGTATATAGATTTCATTGTATAAACATTTGAAATATTAATGAAATTGAAAGAGATTGTGGATGAGTTTGTTTGCTATGTATTGTATATTTGTATGTTCTATAGTAGATCTTTGTTTTTTTTTTTTAATTAAAAAATCTGAAAAATCACCAAAATTTAGATTGTGGTTTTGATCTATCACCATTTAACACCATATAACTTGTTCTGTCTTTGGATTATATTCAAATTGTAATGGACGAGCAAGATAGCAATAGGAACTAAGATGTAGGAAGAACTGAAGAAGCAAGAGGAGAGATTAAAGAGAACAATTTACTTGTGGCACTGTGTTGTAGAGAGAGGGCGAATGCAAAAATTTGGGTTGTCAAAATGGTTTATTGGGTATGGTTCAGGTCTAACCTGAAATTAATCCATCTTTAATATCTTTGACCCGAACTCGATCCAATTTGCAAACCGGGTCAAATTTCTAAACCCAAATCCGACTTGGGTCTAACCCGACATTCTAACTCGTTTGGTTTAAAAAAATTTTCCTCTAATTCAAGTTTGTAAATGTTATACAAATTCTATAACGCTATACAAAAATAAACTTTTATTGTATGTTTTTAAAACAATTAACTTTTATTTAAAAAAAAGAAGCAATTAATAAAATTTATACAACAATTTATACTTTAAAGTTAAGTTTATAGGTTGATAATTTACTTCCAAATTAAAAAAAAATGCTAGATAATTTGAATTTGGCAAAAGACTACAAGTTACACAATTGATTACAAGTACAATATACAAAGTCTGCAAATACATTTTTACAAATAAGTTAATTAGCATTTAGCTATTTAGGCTTTGTTGAATTGTTGGTGTGCTCCCTCCATAAGGCCATTAGTCATTAAGTCTTGCTAAATTTGTCTTGAATTGCATTTTCAACTTCCAAAAAAAAATAGTTGAATGATTAAATCACTTAGGATCACATACACAATTAAAAAAAAAAAAAAACATGGCTCAAATTGACCGTCCAAAAAATCTATCATTTAAAAAAATATCAGTGAATTTCAATATTGCTATGTGCCATCAAAGGTTGCATTTTAAAATCTGCCCAATTAGTAGTATAAGCTCAATCAAACCTAATACAAACGCCACGTGGTTGCACATAGGAGTGTCAATTATTAACCTGACCCGACAAACCGACCCGAAAAATTCGGGTTTGGGTCGACCCGTTTAACAAACGGGTCGGATTCGGGTTTCAATTTTCAACCCATTTAAAAAATGGGTCGGGTCCGGGTTAACCCGGTAAACCGTAATTGACCCGAGCTGACCCGTGTACGCCTCCCATTTTTAGTTTTCCCGCGTGGGAGGGAATCGAGGGACGTCCGCGATGCCAGCCGTCCAACCGAGTTGATGTCGACGCAGTGCCTGCAGCCCTGCAAGGTGCCTACTGCCTAGTGCCTACGACGGCGCGATGCCTAGTATGCGGTTCGCCTACGACGTCATCCCACACGAGAGGACCGCACCGGCACCGCTTGAGCTGCCAGAGCCCGCGGGAGTTACTAGCATTTAGCTATTTAGGCTTTGTTGAATTGTTGGTGTAATCCCTCCATAAGGCCATAAGTCATTAAGTCTTGCTAAATTTGTCTTGAATTGCATTTTCAACTTCCAAAAAAAATAGTTGAATGATTAAATCACTTAAGATCACACACACAATTAAAAAAAAACAAAAACAAAAAAAGAAACATGGCTCAAATTGTCCGTCCAAAAAATCGATCATTTAAAAAAAATCAGTGATTTTCAATATTGCTATGTGCCATCGAAGGTTGCAATTTGTGTTTGCTCATTTTAAAATCTACCCAATTAATAGTATAAGGTCAATCTAACCTAACACAAATGCCACATGGTTGCACATATGTTTGCACTTGCACCAATTAATTTCACTTTAGAGGGTTTTCTCATCATTTCCACTAAAAAAAACGCTCATCAACCCCACAAACAAAAGCACCACAGGATTATCTAAACAGCTAAATAGTTAGCAACATGTATTGGCACCCGCAAAACATAACCGAATTAACACAGAGTCGAAACCAACATAGAAGAAGGATGAGTTTAACAATATAAAAAAATCATTAAATCACAATAGACCATCATTAAGAAGATGAATGAGTCAATGAGCATAGCAGAACTATTGCATTATCTCCCTCATATTGATCATTCCTCTAAGCTACAATATATAAATGCCAGAGTGCAAACATGCCAAGTTATATTTGAACTCAAGGAACATAAGACATTCTAAAAAATTCATAAAAAGTGTGCAACCATAAACATGTATTTAACAAACAAAGTCTCAATTTGAAACTCCTATCTAAACTCCAAATTCATACATACATAATTGTAAACAAAATTAAAGGAAGATGTATGTAGGAATTTATGATTTATCAATCATTTCACTCATCAAACCAAGATGAGAAGAACTAGAGAAGCTTAGCTATACTTATAAATAAATAAGTTCACTATTCTAAATAAAAGAGCATCTAATAAATCAAATTTCTCCACAAAAATTGAAATAAAAGACTAAAAGCTATTCCTATTCCCTTACCTAGACAGCCCAGACTGCCAAAACTTCAGGCTAAGAGAGATCAGATGTAATCATAGTCGAATAAAAATCATAAATGATTAAAGGACGTGTAATAATATTTAGGATTGACATCACCTAGGATTTTTTTTTATTCACTACAATCCCTTACATCACCTAGGGTTTGTGAATCACACAAAAATAATCTAAGGTTTTTGTTTGAGAAGCCTAAATATATAAAAAAAAATGTGGAAACAAAAAACTCATAATAGAGACTACAAAACTTGCCAAACAATCATCCTATCATCGTCGATATATACTAGCAAAATATGAAACATGAAGGGGAATACCTAACTAGGAGGGGAGAAAGGAGACCTGAATTCGTCGTTTGTGATTGTGATCTAATTTCTTGAGAAATCGAGGCTACAACAATCACTGAAACACGAAGAATGCAGATGGGAACGAGGACAAGGGCACAAAGCGAAACAAAAGAGGAAAGCCAAAAGTCGCGAGAAGTAAGAACAACGAAACACGTGCGACATTAATGAAGAAATTTAGTTACACTCGGGCAAATATTAGGTTTTCAAGTTGATCAGAATATGACCTAAATTAAAATCGGTTTAGAAATTTGAACATCAACTTGACTCTTATGTTAAACGGGTTGGCCTGAATCTGAAATTCTTTGGTTGGGTCTGGTCAAATTTTTTGGTTGTGTCAAATATTGAAATCCCTAGCGAAAATGGCAACTTATAGAGGGAGTACTTGAAGGAACAGATGGCCGTTGAGATCAAATTACACTATTTTATAATATTAGGGTCTCTCTCGAGTCAAAATAAGAATTTTAGGTCAACTCGAAACTGACACTAATTATACTGATCAAAATTTTAGATCACAGTACGATCAACTAATTAACTTTTTTAATCAGATCGATATCAAATTATATTGACACCCCTCTTACTAACTGACCACCAGGCCTTGATATTGCGTGGAGGTACACAGCTCTCTTTTGTTTATTGATGGAGAGTTTCACTCCCAATTAGAGCATCTCCAACCAAAAATCTCATTTCTCACTCCAAAATGCAGTGGAACCGAAAAATGTCGTGATTCATCTCCAATCAAACCCCATTTTACCTCGCAACCGTCGTTCACGCCTTTCTTTCGCAAGTTCGGTAGAGACCAACAAAATGGGGCAGATGAACAGTGCGACGCCAATATTGATATTGGCGTCGCACTGTCTATCCGCAATTAAATGACGTCAAAAATGACGGTCCATTGAAGCAAAGGAAGAACAGCAAAAGAGGTCGAGTATGACGTGTGTGTCTATATATATATATATATAAGCGATCGCTGGATTCCGATTTCATTAGAACCTCGTGAAATTTTTAATGAAATCATCCCACCCTTTACTTGGAAGCTAACCAAGGAGAAATTATTCTGAGGCGGAGCTGATCGCACGCCGACGTCAGCGATGGGCGTTTCGCCGGACGCTTCATCGGAGCAATTTCGCCCCTTTCTCCCGTCACCGCCGCAGCCAGAGCCACCGGCTCCCACTTTCGGCTTTCCGGTGCCCTCCCCTCTCCATGACAACCCTCCTGCTTACCTCTTACTCCCCGTTTACCCCCTCCAACGTCGCCGCCGCAGACGTTGTTGCTGCATCCGAGTTCTCTCCGCCTCCTCCTTTCTTATTGCTGGCTTTTTCTTCATCCTCCTCCTCGCCTCTGCCATCCTCCTCCTCTGGCCTTCCAACCCTGAGCTCAGCGTCGTCCGCCTCCGCCTAAACCGATTTAGAGTCACGCCTCTTCCCGCCGTCTCGATTCAGATTGCAATCGGATTGGAAATCAAGATTCGCAATCCTGATTTTCTTGCGATTGACTATAGCTCGGTTGTCTCCTCCATCTTCTACCGCGGGGAGCTGCTTGGATCCGTGACCTCTGCTGGTGGGCGCGTCGAGGCTCGTAAGGTGTCTTATGTTGACGCAGATCTGCATGTTGATGGGGTTAGGGTTCTGGAAAATGCGATTTATTTGATCGGGGATGTGGCTAAGGGGTCTGTCGAGATTGATACTGTCACCGAGGCCCAAGGATGGCTTCGACTCTTCTTCTTCGACCTTCCTATTAAGGTAGACGCTTTTCTAGTTTCTTCATTACGATCTGTTGTTTTTTCTCTTCCAAAAATATTGGATACTTGGAATCCCGGTATATATGTAGATAAAGATGGAGACAACAAGTCTCAATCAATCTGTTGCAAGCTACTATAAGTCTCTTGATTTTTTTTACTTTGGTTGGAGCACTGGTTGTCATCAGGGCGTTCTTAGCTTGACTCTTCTCATGTGATAGTTGGAATTCAGCATGGATGTTATGAACTAGACAAGTAGTTAAATAGAAAGAGGAGTAGGGGCATCCTTTATTTTAGTTTGAGGAGTATATTATGAAAAGCTAAAACGAAAAACAAAAAGAAATGTATAATTGCTATCATTATTAATAGGAAAGTTGAGTTCATTAGAACTATATTGAAACTATCCATGGGAATCTTTGGACCTCAAATAAAGCCCCTTATAGATTTTTTTTTTAGCTTTGGATTTTTGAAGTTTGGTGATAAATTTCAATTTTTTCTGTTAGAATCTTAGAATACTGTGATGTGAATTCTAAATGAGATCCTTTTGGTTGGCCCGTCTGGGACCGCCTCATTTTGGCTGTTGGATAAAGGAGAATCATTCTACCAACGCCCACCATCCAATTTCTTCAAACTTGTTTTGGCTAAGTACTGGAAGGACTTGTTACTCAGTTTAAGACTGAATAAGACTGAAGGTTAGCCGTGCTCAATCGAGCAATCTAGCATGGCAATTCAATTACAAAGCTGATTCATTCAGAGGAAAAACTCTCTTGTTGCGAGGCCCCTATTTTCATGTAATAACAATATTGTCCTTTTGTAGTAGTAAAATAGCAATTATTTTTAGCAACGAGGAATGTGCTTTGTTTCACCAAATTTAACTTCTATTGACGTGCCACCATCATCCTTGAAGAATTTGCTGGTATGAATGATAACGAGGCTGAAATGGCAACCATTCTGTGATTGTTTATAAGAACTTTATTGCATATTGATTTGTTTTGCTCTACAAAATAATAGAGGAGGATTTCAATTTCATCATTGCCATCTTCATTTTTGTTAGTTTTAATTTATGAATTCTCCTTTTTCTATGATCCATCTCTTCTCATTTCTAACCCTCCTATAATAATTTTATTTTATTGTCTACGATGTGTATTTTTTCTCCTACATTGTATATATCCAAATTATCTAAGTCTATTTTCAATTAACTTCATTTGTTCCTTTAATATAATCATTAATTAATTAGTCTTTTCTTATTCTTTTATTGCTTCATATCAATCTTAATATTCTCATTTATGCCACATTTAACTTAAATATCAATGTGTTTATTATCCAACAATCAAATGCATGAAATATTACTGACCTTATTGCAATTTTATAAAAAATATTATTAATTCTTCATTATGTCATCTTATTGCATATCACTTCTGAGAATCTTTTCTATTCTAACCATCATCTGTAAATCTAGATATAAAAAAGTTATATCTTCGGGTACATCTCAATTCTTACATACAATGGAACCAAAATACCTCAACCTATCATATCTAGGTATTACTTTAGCTTTAGCTCTATAGAAGGATTTACTCGTATTTATTGACAACATTATTTGGAATCATCTGGTAGAACATTGAGCTGTTATTGAATGGTCATTGTGCTAGCTCCTTTTTTCTCTTGTTGTTCAAGACATCCCCTGATGCAGATTACTTCTGTAGATTTGTGAGGATGTTGTTGCAGATGACTTAAGTTATGGAAGTTGTTTCGGTAGATGTAAATGCCAAATGTTTTGAAAGTATTCCTTCACCTGCTAACCAATCCAAATTGCTTATGGTGAATTTCAAAATCTAATAGTAGAGGTATTAGATTTGACTTATGTTAAGAAAGGTAGAGGCAGACCTAAAAAGATTTGGTTAGAAAATATTAGAAATAATCTTTCTTTATTAGATTTAAAAGAGAATTTGACTTTTAATAGGACACGATGGAGAAAAATGATTCATGTAGCCGATCCCATGTAGTGGGATAAAGGCTTGATGTTGTTGTTGTTGTTATTCTATTATTAGCACATCACAAGGGAGGTTGTTTTTTTTTCATGCACCCGTTTGGCAATTGGCACATTAGAAGTACTTATATTTGACACAGGCTTCATTTTAGGTGGCTTACGTTTTTCTGAGTTTGCTTTTTGAACTTTTTAAAAGATCCTTTCTCAACTATAGGTTTCTGTTTTGCTTTCCCAAAGCTAAATTTTCTAAAGCAAGTTCTAGAAAATGCAGGGAAAAACTTGTTTTAACTTCTTTTAACCAAACAGACATTTTTTTTTCTTGTCGAGTTTCAAACAAATGGACATTTATTTTGCTTGCAGTTTTTTTGCTACGAAGACAGTCCAAAAACTGCCTCAAATGAAGCCATAGTCGTCCTTTCTACCCTTTTGTCATGGCTGAAAATTTTGACATGTCACGCAGCATGACATTATGAGACACTTAAAAACTATGCTTCTTCTGAAATGTTATGGCAATGATATTTGCTATCATTATACAGCAAAAAAAGTTTTTCATGCCTTGTTCTTTTGGCCATCCCCTTTATGTGATGCAATAAGCTGAATATTCATTCATTGCAAAAATGGTTACTTGGTGGAAATTATTCATATTATTTTAGTGTGCTCGTCATTAGCTGATCTAATGTAGTCTGTAGAATCTAGCTTGTCATTGTCGAATTGAACCTGATTTTAGATAATTTTTGGCTGGAATTTACCTAGAATTTTCTAAGTGAACCATTTTTTATTAAGTTACAAAATTGTGATATTTATTAGTTTTGTGCCTATCAGTATCCACCTAACATCCATTTCTTCAAGCTCTCGAGCATAAGTTTGTTATCTCAGTTCTATCTTTGGAAGAAATTTGGATTTGGCAAAACTTCAACAATCTAACAAACTTCAACGATATGTTTATTATATGTTAATTATATCCACGATGGTTGATCACTTCAAAGATAGTGTTGGGGAATTTTTAATTAAAGTTGCCATCCTATGTTGATAACTAAATAGGATCTACATACACTTAACCTATTAGAAGTATTAGAGCTCTATAAACTATTGAATCTCATCATATATTTCTGCAAGGCCAACCATGGACTTGGATTTGACGAATTCATTGATTTCCTCTCTGAAGAACCTAACCATGCCTGCAATTTTATTGTAAGATTAGATTTGGACCTTCTTGCAAAGTTTGCAGTAATCTAACTAGCTTCTCCAACTTGTTGTTTATAGATTATTTGAAGAATCCCTGATTGACTGTGGCTTATTGTTTTCTTAGATTGTGCTTGGGATTCAACTTTATTTCTTTCTATCTTATAATATTATAAATAATATTTTTGATAACTTGCTCTGATCGGCAGTGGCAAGTGAGAAGTTGGGAGGTATATTGGACTTGTATAACAATGCTTCCTATTGTAACTGGAATGTCCAAAATGATTTTAGTAAAACCGTTGCAGTGGCTATATCTATTTATTCATATGCACTTTTGGGCGGAATCTTATCCATTTATAGGTCCGTGACTAGTGAGTCCACCGTCTGATGTGGACATAGTTTAGTATTTGTTTTTTAATGAATATTTGAGTTAGTTATATTTTTTAGATTATTATTTTGTTAGGGTTTATCCTTTAATATGATATAAGTTTGTTATCAATACTACAATTTGTTAGCAAATTGCTATTTCTTCCATATATAAATATGAAATTTTTTGAGTCATTTTAGTTAATTTTTGGCATGGATAAAATTTTATTGTGGATGTTGAGATCTGTCTTTTTCATTTATTTCAACATTTTGATTTTTGATTCTGCGTGGCACATGAATTCCTTCTGGGAGAGAGAATCTTCTTGTTCAAGCATGATGATTGTTTATCATGTTAATTTTTCTCACTCCTTTCATTTTCCCCCTCTATTATCTCTCTGGTTGTTGTCGTGTATCAACCTCCTTGTTCTGTTAGTCACGGCTTAGCGTGCAGTGTTGAGGGGTTTAAAGCCATTGAGTTTGAGGATTTATCGTTATCTCTACTCAATGACTTTTCCTAGCAGATCAGGCCAGGATTTGGTCATAACCAGATCCATTCATAGTTCCATCTACTTGCAAGTTGAAAATCCACTTCACTGTCTATTTTGTACTAGAACGGATGAGGATTCCAAGGCCATAAGCTCAAAAGATTCTCTTTGCTTACCTAAGGCTGCTAGTTTTAAGAACACTTAAAGCCAAAGAGTAGGAGAAAGCACAACCATTTCTTTCCTCAGCATTTAGCATCCTCAAGTTATTGAAATTCTGAATTAGGAAACAAGGTGGAGGGAATGTGATGATTGTGTTGCCATTAATGCGCTGAAGAAAATTGTGATGTTATACTTGGATGGCTTCTATGGCGCTGGATATGTTCAATTATTTTGAAAGATTAGTTGGTATTAAGTATAGACTGCTATCTTTTATTTTGGTAACATTCTCAAATCCATGAATATATAAAAATATCAATTTGATCTTTTGACTCTTTAAATAAGAATCAAATTAGTCTTTTCATAGGATCATTTAAGTCCTAATTTGAAAAGTGAAGATACTAAAACGAGACATTTAAATAATTGGGGACTATTTTGACCTTCTTAAAGAGTTAGATGACCATTTTGGTGTTTCTCTTAAAAAATTCGTACATATGTTTTGTTATAATTATATTTCCATGTCTCATCAAATGAACTTAATTTTTCAATAACACCAATATTAATATTAATCATTAGACATGATTATGTAAATGCAAATACTGTATTGCCTTACAAAATGGGGGAAAAAAATCTATAATTCTCAAGATAACCACACAAAATATTAGCATATTGATATATCACTAATTTGATCATCACAGTTGGCATCACAATCATCATCACCATTAGCACCGAAATCTTCTTTAATAACACTGGCACCATCATGGGGAAAATAGCTTGCAAAACTAGCTGAATGAGGATAAACACATTTCACCAGCATTGCATGCCCTGAATGTGTGAGGTGTGACATAACCATGTCATCTAATTGTTTAATAAAAGATGGACGTGATATTAATCTTGAAATAATAAAGTAGAAGATTAAAGAATTCAATTCAGCTTGAAAACTAAATTTCAAAGCACCTAACATGTCAAATGATACAAAATTATTACTATGATATTTTTTTTTTCAGACTGGAAAGGATAATAAAAATGAGGAAAAAAAGATTAATAAAAAGTAATATGATGAGCATGTGTTGCCTCTCTGGAAGGGTTTTGTGTCTCATACTTGTATAATGATTAAAATCTTTAGAATAAATGAAGAAGGATCTATACTTCCATAAATTTTTTTAATGCCATAAACTGATTTATATAAATTAGTATAGAGAAAATGATCAAAATGGTTTCTCAACTCTTTGTGATTGTGAGGGAACAAAATGGTCCCCAACTCTTTTGAGGAATAAAAAATACTCGTTGATTTAACATCATTAACCCCAAAATTTGATGTTAGGATCAAAAATACCCTTTTTTAAGGAGTTGAGGGACCAAATTGATTTTTAGGGTTTAGGGACCAAAATAGTTGTGAAATTATTTGTATGCTTGGGTCTGATATATTAGCTTGCTGTAATGCTTTGAAATGTTTTTTGGTGCTCATCCAATTGCTGTAATGCTGAGAAAGGGAGAGATGGCCTTAAGCTATATACATATCTGTTTATGCCGCTATCTAATTTTGTTGTGTCGTGGTGCTGTAACTGTGCAGGTTTGTTTGGTGAAAGCCAAACTAGTGAACCTTGTTAACAATTTGAATTGATTGTAACATATTTTTGTCAATTTTCTTTTATTGGTGGCAAGTATAGCTCTTCATTAGATTCTAATAATGAATAGAAGAGCAAATTTATATAGAAGAGCAAATTGATAGGTGCAGTTCTGCGCAAATTCCCTTCAAACTTTTTTGGATTAATATTGAATTTGTACTAAATCTTAGCTTTTTTTGATAGATGCATGCCTTTATACTTTTGTACTTCATACTATATCTTATTCATGATTTATTTCACAGGGGAAAATTTCATGTATAACTCGTGTAAATCCAGATGATCAAACTATCAGTTTTCAAGATTGTCATCCCGCGGTAAGTTTGTTCTGTATTGATATGCCATTACTACTGGAGGCACTTCTAGCCACTCTGAATTAACTAATCCATTTCTCTGATAACCTTCATTCAGTGATGCAATGATGATTGAGGTGGCGGATCTCGGTTGATAATGTCAAATCAGATTTCACTTTGGTAAGCTTTAATTTGTCATTCTACTACTCATATTGCCCTTTTGTAATATATGATATCAGTAATGACTGCTTTTTAACATTCACTGCAAGTAAATCTATAGTAATTAGTCTAATGTGGTGGTTTGTGCAGCTTATATTGTAGTCATGTTTCTTATCCTTTTTTTTCTTGTAATTACTATCAATATCATGCTTGTTCGAATGTATTGTTTATATTTATCTGTGGTGAGATTGATCACTGATTGTATATTTCTACTCTTTCAAGAACCTCTGCAACCATCTTCGAGATTGGGCAAATTATTCTGTGCGGACACTGAACGCCATCCAGAGCTCAATGAAAATGCGTCACGTTACCCCCTACTCGGTACCGGGGCTTGGTACTGGATGATGTGACTGCATCTGATTCGTCTCTGGACGGTAAGCTATGTTCAGTGTTTGCACGGAATAATCGCTCTCGAGATTGAAGCTGTTTTGTAAATTTGGTTCTATATTTATGTTAGAATTCATAGAATTTGAGAAGGGTAAAAATACCTTCTACTTATTATACAAAATTATCCCTATTTATAGATCTATACAAGATGTCTTAATAAAGAAATAAATAACTTCTAATTGATACATAATTGCCTCATTATAATCCTTCCTAATTCAGCTATCCAAATATAGAAGGATATTGGCGTGATCCAGGTGAGCCTCCCACGGATTCTCATCCTGACCGTGGGATCAAATGCCAATGGATGATTGAGATTTTGACAATTTATAATGTAAGAAATCCGGGTCAGGGTATCAAAGTTAAGTATTGTCATGATGGGTTTTCTATCCGTTGGATTTGCTTGAAGTGCTTTGCATTTAAGGGCAATTTTGTCAGTTAATCTGCAATTTGCATGTTTATTTTTGAGTGGTTTCACTATAGTTTTATGAGTACCCGCTGAACATACACATAGCTGGAGATGACATAATCCGGACACAAATCAATCGAAATTTTAAGATAATGTTGTCAAAGCTACACTGATATACTATCTATATATTTAGCTGAGGAGAAATGTTACTTAATGACTTGTTGGCTAAAATGCATTAAGAGATTAAATAATTTTTTACAAGTGTATTTATTATATCATAATAAGTAATTCATAATAAAACTAAAATAATTAAGTGTACTTTTATGTTGAAAGGATTTCTATTATGTCAAATTCATTAAAATTTCCCCATTTCTCAATGAGTGGGTGAAGTGTGGAATGTAGCGAGCATTATTTTCATCACAACACCTGGCATGATTTTACCCTAGGTTGTGTTGGTGAAGTAAAACCAGTGGAAAAAAAAAAAAGTGCAAATGATGATTTAACATGGATAAATTCAAAATCAGGAAAAAATAACGGGTCACATAACATCAAGAAATTCATTATGAAAATTAAGAGAAAATTGTACATCTCTTCTCTCTCTCTCTCTCTCTACTTGTCTCTGGTCACACTTGCATCATTTTACACACAAAATGGACAAAGACACACTTCAATAATTCCAAGAGACACGACTCTTCGAGTTAAACATGACAAATGAGAATGAAAATTGCCCAGCCTAACTCGCAGCACCGTGGCGCTAGGTTTAGAGCGCCTCGGTGCTAAGCTTTTTGTCTCTAGTTATTGACAATGTTGTGGTGTCGGGGTTTGAGCGCCGCATCGCTCTGCTCTCGATCCGTCTCCAACTAGACTATACGATGTTGTGTTGCAAAACACCTGAACTCAAGCAAGGGGAGTACCCCTGCGATCCTCCAACATGCTTAATCAATGAAATTAAGGTTAGAGGTAACAATACAATCCGATTGATCGACATAATCAGCTTTTACACAAAATTAGCAATTTCCCACTTGAAAATTGATTGCAATAAATCATTCTCCCAATATGTAGCACCTATAATAGTGCATGTATTGTAGTTCACCCTTTCTCTCATCTTTCATAAAAACCAATTGAAGCTATACATTGCTTCAGTTTATCAATTGTCATCAAATTCGTTAGCATGTTAGAAGGATTTTGTGTTGTGTAACTTTTCTAAAGATAATTGATCATCTTCTAAAAGCGATATGATGAAATGATACAGAAGTTAGATGTGATTTGTCCTGGCATGAAATTAAACAATTTTGGCTAGATGAATAACACTTATGTTGTCACTATGCAACTACTCATTCTTTTGCCCTTTATCTAGTTTTGTCAAGAAACTTTGCAGTAATATCATCTCTATGCTAGTCTCAATGATTGCAATGTACTCATTTTTTTGTGGTTGAGAGCTCAATTGTCACATTTTTTATTTGATAAAAATTATATAAATTCTAAAACACTGATATAAAATTTTCAAAAAATATTCAATGGTCAAAATCTCAATATCTATAACATATAAAAAGTTATACGGTGAAAGTTTTGAAGTCTTGAGTATATATTATTATTGCTCTCAAAATCATACAAAATACTCCGGAATTATAATTACGACATAACTTTCTAGTCTTGAGTTTAAAAGAATAACTACAAAATATAAAAACAAAATAACAAACTTAGAGAATCTTTATCAATCTCACACTTTTGATCATTTACTCTGACATGAAATCATTTAAACATATAATGAGCTAAAAAACACACAGGTCATTCAATCCTACAATTGACTCAAAGCACGATAAAAGAAACAGTATGTATGTCGTTAATCAATTCAAAACAATAATAGTCATATGATCTTGAATTGATGCATAAATAGTAAAATACACATACAATAACAATAGAATTTGTGAACAGTAAAACAATATGGTACGTGAGTAATAAAACAATACGGTGGGGAAACCAATAGATCAGTACGTGTGTCGAATTGATAAATAGTCATCGTATTATTACTATTAATCAGTAAAGAAATCATATAAAGCGGCAAAACCAAATTATTGGCAAAGACTGTCGGAATCATATCAATACAGTAAAACTCTATAATGATGTATAAATCCTATCCAGTTATTCTATTTTAGTATCAAGCCAGTATTTTAATCATATGCACAATATCAGTATAGTAAATCAGTATTAGTAATTAGTACAATGAATCAATAGTAATATTGATGTCTGTATCGATAATAGTATTAATATAGTGTAGTTTGTAAAATTAGTGGTAGTAATAGTAAATCAGTGCAGAATAGTAAATCCGCACAGTAATAGTAAATCAGTAAACAATAACAATGAAGCAGTAAAATTGTACAATGATAGTAATAATGAATCAATAACATGCATTTCAATAGTCTCACTAAACAAGTAAGAAGTCATGATTTAAGCAGTGTTTTTCTAGTAAGCATTTATCAGCACTAGTATCCCATTGGCTCGATAAATAGAGTCGTCATTTTTTGCCCGTCAGCACAGTACTAACTTCTTATAACTCCAATCAGTATCATGTGAATCAGTAAAGAATAATACTAAACCATAATATTTAAAAGAAAGCCCATCGGCTCACCATCATGTATATGTTAGTCAGCCTCCATGCAACATCAGTGAAACCAACTTTTTTTATACTTACACATTATTATCATAATAATAACGATAAGCTATAACTCAATAATATACACACATTTATTTCTAATATTTGTATTTAAAATATGTTTATAGTAAAAATATTTGTTATTCAATCAGTAGAAACAATACAAAATACAGTAATTTCTATTTTACCTGGTGAATTTCAATCAATGTTACAGTCAAAATGTTTCAGATAATTAGTACGAGAAAATGTAAAAAGTTGTGTGGTAAAAATTTAATAAATTTGGAGAAAATGCAATAAAATAAGTTTTAGGGATAATCAAACAGTTAAAATCAATATATTTGAAAACAGATAAATGATTAAAATCATCTATAGTGATCTAAAAAATTTCTATAAAAGCGGCAAAATGATCTGATCACTAAAAATTGATTTTCTCCTTTTCTCTCTACAGGAAGTCAAAATTTTCCATTTTCAATTATTTTTAGAAATTTGGATTGTTAGAAATACGATCAAATATTCGAATTGATCGACACAATCAGATTTCACGCTGAACTAATAGGTTGATCAGACATTCCTTTCTTATTTGTGGCCGTTGATACATTTGTGGTGCTACTAGGCTTGATCTAACCAACGTGTGGCATGATTTCAGTTTAGGTTGATCAGTTTCAAGTTAAATTTGCATAAATCCCGAGCATTATGTTCCTCACAATATTGTCCTAGTATTACAGTCTTAATAGTAAATAAATGTATTTAAAAAAAAGAGCTTTTGTCAATAATGATATATAATTATGAATAAAAATCATATTAAGATATTTTTATCCAAATTTTATCCGGATGAATTTAAAATGTTTTAGATTTGCTTTTAGTGTAACATTAATTTCAAATTAAAATTTAATGATTTTTAAATTTATCTGTGTAATTTATAATTTTTTTTATAATTATTAATATTATTATTTTTTTTTATGGTTGGCTATTTTTCCTTTACAAAAAAATTGTAATTCATACATTTTCTATGTATTTTTTTATCAGCAAAAATTTATATATATTTTGCATTAAATCTATATAACAATATTAAAATAATAATGAACTATATCAACAATAATTTCAATAGTCTAGCAAAAAATAAGGAAAAAAATAATTAAGCAATATTCCACTAAGGTTACTAAACCTCTTCAACTTCGAAGTCTCCAGATTTTGATAGTTGAGAAGATAAAGCATACAAGCAAGTAGGGAAAGCAGCCAAAAAAAAGATGCTTTGCTGACTCCAAAGTGCAATAGACGTGTAGAGCGCTTCCATTCCCCTTTATCTATATGCCAAATTGTTGCCGCCACAAACAATAATTCTGTCATCTTTTTCCTCCTCTTTCTTCCACCACTCAAAGCAATCTCTTCTTCGCAAAATTCATCATAAAGCTTATCAATTCCTACATCTACTCTTCGTCCTTCTCTTCTGTGGCGCGACCCGATGTGTTCTTCACGCCAGTCTGATATTTCTCCAAGCTCCTTCGAGCTCTGGGATCGCTGGCGCCGGCGCCGTCATCTTCATCGTCTATTACCAGTTGTGGTTGAAGAGAGCTCGCCGGACGAAGAAGTAAGGCAATATTGTTTGTGCTCGCCGACACATCATCCTCGATCATTTCGATGCCGCTATCATATGGTTTGCTATAAGTGGACTGCCGCAAGGGCTTGAGAGATTAGTAAGTGAGGGAAGCTCAAAAAGGCGAGCTAGCTATGTTATGTATTGGCAACTGAAGCCTACTACTATATGACCCAAAATATATATAGTTCCTGTACAATTAATATCTTAAGCTGTTATCGCCCAAGAATTTCTACTCTTGTTTCAGAATCATGAATACCTGCAAGAACTAGTTTAATTATTGGTCATCTCCGTTGCTGTGCTGTACGGGATCTTCTTCATACTAATTTCTGTAAATTTTATAATTTTTCAAGAGCTTTTTTGGAAACTGTGGCTTAAAAAAAATCTTTAAATGTAAGAATATAAAATTTTAAATTTTCTCAAATAAAACTTAATTAGATAGATGAGGAAGCTATTGCCAAGTTCATATAATCAATAGAATTTCAGATGCAAATTTTAAATATTTAAGCAGTCAAGAATTGTGTTGACTAGGCTTCAAATTTGCAAGTTTCTAATCAAAATGAATTTCTTTCTATGTTGTTTTCAATGATTGCCAACATCTAAGAATTACGATGAAGTCAGAGATTAGAACTGTTTGAATCAGCTTGGGGTGGCCAAGATTGCACCCCCTACCTCTCATTGAGAAATTATTATGTGTGGTTGCCAGACGTCATCAGAGGCAAATTATGATGCGCCAAATCATCATTTGATGTGTGCAGGGGTGACGCGGCACATCTTAAATTCCTATGTTATGTCTGGTGTTCGCACGTAATAATTTCTCATTTGAGGGCTTATCATAAGCACCTAGGGATGATGATCGGTGCTACCACTATTCCAGTGTTTTAAGGCTAATAGATTGCTCTTGATGAGACAAAATTTTTTGATGAAATGCAACTATTTATGCATCAAAATACTATTAGATTCCTCAGTTGATTAACTTGGCATTCTAAAATACTATAGCAACTAATTGGGAATGGTCAATTGAAATTCAAGATTTTACCAACTGGGTTTAGCTTGGTTGGTATGTGGGCAAGCATGGGTCGGAACCTTCAAACTCATGTTCGATTGTTCTCCCGAGCGGCTCGCTTCCTTTGAGGGAGTACACTAAGCGTGGACCTGACGTCTGTGGGTTGACTACAACTAGGTCAGCCGGGGATTAGTTGCACCGCCAAACGCCTTCTAAGAGGGTGATAGAAAGTAGATACCCCCGTTCCCAAAAATAAAAAAAAAATTCAAGATTTTAATAGTGAACAAAATTCTACTCAATTTTTGTGGCTTTTCTTTTCATATTTTAGATACAGAAAATCAGGCGTTAACTTTTTTTTTTTTTTAATAGAAAATGGAATACCGAAGCACAAATGTAATCTTATAATGATTCGATTAAAAATGTAGTAATATTTTTTTAAAATATTAATCTACTAAGTTAAATTAAAGGTTCTCATTTGAAAGCTTTGAGGTTTTTGATCCTCATGTGTTGCAGATGGGCACTATATTTTCATATTGGCTGAGAACTTTGAGTTATTGTACTATTTGCAGCATAAAGCCTATTTTAATTTGCTATTAAGATTTAGTTTGGGATAATTTTTAATTATTATTTTTAAAAGCTTTCATAATTTTTTGTTGTTAGGAAATTATTACAGAAAATAGTAAAAAAATTGTTTCAAGAAAATAATAAATAAAACTGTCTCAAACAATTTGTTAGCCACACCGATCACATCTTTTGTAGCTATCTTTTTTTTTTTTTTTTTAGCTATCTTACTTCTTCAAATAGCCAATCTATGTATTATGACAAAAATTTTCTATTTGAGATTTTTTTTTCTCGCTTTTAAGAGTAGTAGTTTTATTTGACCATTATTTTCTCATGACTCTTAATAAAATTTTATCTTAAGAATATATTTTTAATAATAACTTAAAAAATTATTTTTACCATAATATTTTTATAAATTTTTATAAAACTGTAACTGTCTCAAATAAACTCTAATTATAATACTTTTACATTATTTAATTAATTTTGTATTTCTAATTTAAGAGTTCAGCTCAGTTTCTAAATAAATTTTTATTTTAAATTGTATTTTCTTAATGATG